TCCCTCCCCCCATTTTAACTCGATTAATATTTTAGTTTTCAATATGGGTCACAAATATCTCAAATAGAAAATAGACCTAATGTTTATTCTTATGATTTTTTCTCCTACTTAAAATTGATTTTTCGCCATTTTTTCCAACATAACTTATTAACGTAACATATTTCGATACTTGCACAAAATTTATTTACTTTGTAACCCCCCCCCCCCCCCTCCCATAAAAAAAAAAAAAGTAAATTTATTGCATATTTTTCCTACGTACAAACTTTTTTCTATTTCATTCTATTGTATTAAAAAAAAAAAAAAAAATGTATAAACAATCATTATTTATCATTATTTCCGTAATCATAATAATAACTAACCCCCTGTATTTATTAAATTATTAATGTATTTGAAATAATAATAATAATATTTTGTCTCTATTATTTAAAAAGGAAAATTAAAAAAAAATTGGAAAAAGGAAAAAAAATCTTTATTGGGGGGTGTTGTTTTGAAGGTTTTTTTTATTAAAGTTGCTACCAACAAACAAACGTGTGTGAGCCATTGACCTCTTTTACTTAAACATTAATAATAATAATAGTGTGCTAGTTGGCTGTTTTTCCAACAGCATTAACTAATATTATATATTATGTTGGTCTTTGTTAAACCTTTAAAAATTCAGTTTTAAATTATATTTAAAAATTTTTTGCACGGATAGTTTCCCTCTCTCTCTTTCTCTACCATTCTTCTGTTTCTCTCTCTCTCTCTCTCTCTCTCTCTACCATTCTTCTGTTTCTTTCTCTCTCTCTCTCTCTCTCTCTCTCTCTCTCTCTACCATTCTTCTGTTTCTCTCTCTCTTTTCAACTTATAAACGTTTATATTCGTAAAAAGTTTTTTTGTTTTCACATGAACTATAATATATATATTTTAAAAATGAGTAAGTGCTAAAAACTAAAAAAATTTTTTTTAAAACTACTTTTATAACTTTTCAAAAAAAATTAAATATTATGTAAGGACGCATGGATTATTATTTAAATTTCTTTTTGAACTAAAAAACCAAAAAAAAATTTTCTT